ATTCCACACTTCAGCAGGATTATGGACCCTCTCACAGATTGCATTCGAGGTTCGAAGTTCCACTGGACTCCCGACGCCGAGGCCGCGTTCTTGGAGGTCAAACAACGCCTCGTCGCCGCCCCTATCTTGGTCATGCCTGACTTTGGTCAACCGTTCGAGTTACATTGTGATGCTTCCAAGACAGGTATCGGGGCGGTTCTCAGCCAGTCGGGCCGACCGGTGGCTTATTTCAGTGAGAAGCTGTCCGGCGCCAAGCTCTATTTCAGTACTTACGACGTGGAATTCTACGCGGTTGTTCAGGCAATCAAGCATTGGCAACATTATTTGTTTCATCGGGATTTCATATTGTTTACGTATCACGATTCCCTCAAGCATCTCGGCAGTCAGGATAAGATCTCTCATCAGCATGCCTCATGGATCGCGTACCTCCAACAGTTTACCTTCGTCATCAAGCATAAGGCGGGGGTGTCCAACAGGGTGGCGGATGCCTTGAGTCGCCGCAGCGGGTTACTCACCGAGATGCGCATCCATGTACCTGGCTTTGATTCTTTCCTGGAGCTCTATGTGGATGATCCGTTCTTCTCCCAGATCATGATCCGGCTTCAGCAGGGTGAGTCCACGGATTTTGTGCTGGAAGGCGGGTTCTTGTTTCGCTGCACTTGACTCTGTATTCCCGCCTGCAGTTTGCGGTTGAAGATAATCCAGGAGCTCCACAATGAGGGGCATGTGGGCCGTGATCGTATGTTCCTTCTCCTTGCTGCCTCCTACTTCTGGCCGTCCATGCGCAAGGAAGTGGGTCGCTACGTCGCCCGTTGTCGCATCTGTCACCTAGCTAAAGGAACCTCGACCAATGCTGGTATATACCTCCCTCTTCCTATACCCACACAACCCTGGTCTACCGTCAGTATGGACTTTGTCCTGGGTCTCCCTCGTACGCTGCGAGGTTCTGATTCCATTTTCATGGTCGTTGACCGTTCTCGAAGATGGTTTTCTTCATCCCGTGTAGGAAGACCTCCGATGCTGTCGCTGTATCCCTTCTATACTTCCGGGATGTCTATCGGTTGCATGGCCTTCTGGCCTCTATTGTATCTTATCGTGATTCCCGTTTCGTGAGTAACTTTTGGCGCAGTTTGTGACGCATGGTCAATACCCAACTGAATTTTAGTAGTTCCTATCATCCCCAAACTGATAGCCAGACGGAGGTTGTTAATTGTTCAATGGGTAACCTTTTGCGTTGTTTGGTGGGTGATCACCCGAAATCCTGGGATAAAAAACTACCCCATGCCGAATTCGCCCATAATCGCGCGGTTAATCGCTCCACTGGGTTTTCCCCCTTTCAGGTCAGGTCTATGGCTTGGTGCCATGGGGTCCTCTGGATCTGCTCGCCTTGCCATCCAAGGTGCGGAACCATGCTACTGCTGCGGAGTTGGTTGAGCAGCTAACTACAGTGCACCAGACCACACACGAGCGATTGGAGGCATCTACGGTTCCCTACAAGGCCCGTGCGGATCAGAGCCGCCGCGCTGTGGAGTTCTGGGTCGGGGACTTTGTCTGGGCGGTCCTTACTAAGGATCGTTTTCCCCCACATGAGTACAACAAGCTTGCTGCTCGGAAGATTGGGCCGGTGGAGATCGTCGAGAAAATCAACCCCAACGCCTACCGTCTGCGCCTGCCGAGCCATGTCCGCACTGCCGATTTATTCAACGTGAAGCATCTCATCCCATTTTCTGAAGAGGCGTCGTCTGAGGAGGATGAGGCGGCATTGGATTCGAGGGCAAATCTTTTCTACCCCGGCGGGAATGATGAGGAGGCGGCATTGCCATGCACCGGAACAACCACCTAGCCTATTTGTTTCGTTCTTTTTTTTATTTCTCAAGGACCTTTGAGTACTTTTGTTTTTTTTCATCTTTCCTTGTCAAAGTCGGTTAGGGTGTCTTGTTAAGTCTTATATATAGAGTTGTCCCTTGTTCGGAGAAGGCATATTTTTTGATTGAATAAAAGAAGAAAAGAGGGTTTCTCCTCGCAAAAGTCGACTCAGATATTCTCTTGAATCAACGAGACTCAATTTCTTATCCTTCCCCACGTACGCTGCATCACATTTTGATTCCTTAACCTCTATGCACAAGGACTATAAGAAATGAGTGATCAAACCAAGTCATAGTCGATACACAAACAGTTTAAACCTGAACCCCTACACAACTCTATTGCACGTCTCAATAATCATTATAGGTTGTCTTAATCACAAACAAGTTATCATGCATCAATGCTAACAGCCAATCGATTCACCACACAAAACCACGGTGCCCATATAATCATGCAAACATCAGCAATTGGAGCCCTCAAATCGAAAGATTGGACAGTGGAATAGGCTTCAAGCACACCAACATATCCAAACAGTCAAGGGTAAACCCCCGATAAGCACTAAACACCACTGACACTTAAGTTCAACATTGCTCTCAATGGAGTAGAAGGAAGGATAAGGGGAACGATGTTACTGCCTTCGACCGCCTTAGTGTAAACAAACAACTCTGTTTGTTTAATGTTCTTGGCAATCAAAAATTTGACCATGCCATCTACTTCCGCCTGAGTGGTTATGACAAATTCCTCATGCCACAACGACCCTCCTTGTCTATTTGGATATCGATACACCATACGATCAACTCTCCTCGTCCACCCATACAAGTAACCTCAGTACAAATTTGACGGAGCTCTTCAAGGTTCAGTCTCGTAGCGACCTTCACCTTATGAAAACTGCCATCAACGTAACGTACCCCCTTTCCGGTCTCTTCCGTATAACCATTTCACCATAACCCAAGCGTGACATTTTGGAATGCCATCTGCAATAAAACAGTAACTAAATTAATACCATAAAATTTGTCAACGTTAATCTCAAAACAAACTTACGATAAAAAGTAATACAAAACAAACTTACAAAGTAACGTTAATCGCTAAAACTCAAAACACAAATCGCAAAATGGAAAATTAAAGAAGAATAGGAAGATGGGTGAAGTGTTGAGGTTTCTGGGGCTTCCTTTTGTAGGCAAAATGTCAAGTGAAAACCGCTCCCCCTAGCGGTTTGCTCCAGACATGCAACCCCATGCCCACAACCCCCTGCATGGCGACATGTCGACTGTCGGGAGAATGGGGACTACACACAAACCGCCCCCACAGCGATTTGTGTGTCAACAACATAAACTGCTTGTTGAAGGAGCGATTTCTATTTTTTACGTAGAACCGCTCCATCAACAAGCGGTCCGTTCTAGGTCAGTTACAGAACCGCTTTAGGGAGGGGCAGTTTGTGACAAAAATCAAACCCGCCTCCTCACCATGCAGTTCTCTCACAAGCCGCCTCACATGTGGCGTTTTCAAGAAATGTTGATATTTGTGAAATTTTTCTAGATTGGGTGGTATTTTTGTAATTTTTTCAAACAATGGTATTTCTGAAAAAAAAATCCCCCTATATCAGGGTGGTATATTTGGTCGTGAATTTTTTTTCCAGAAATTTGTAGATCATAATGGATCACGATTAACTCGTTCTTTCTATTCAAAATATTTCAAAATTAGAGTTCAAAACGAAGGTGGTAGAGAGTGGCATTAGGTGGTACCAGGGTGCTACATGAATCGTTTCCTAGAAATATATCGAAAAAAATAATCTTGTAGATAAAAATGAACTCGTTTCATGTGTAAATTTTTTTTGACATTCAAGTTAAGATAAAAAATATGCAAGTCGAAAAAGTAAAAAAATAAAAAGACCTTTTAATGTCAACTGTTAGATCGATACCCACTCAAAACAAAAAAAAACATCAAATTTAATTATGCACAAATCCATAATTAAAGATTCTTAGTCCAAATCAAAAAGATAGGTCGTCAAAATCTATACCTAATCCATCTAAACCACCCATTAAGGGATGAGATCTCGTCACAACCACCAAGTGTGTTGTCAATTTCACTACGCACCTCCTATCCATTGAATTCATTTTCTCTCATTTTTTTAAGATGGATAAGATTGATCAAGGGGTATGTTTGGACAAAATTAATTACCACATAATACTCGCCTCTCTCTTCCTCTAACGCTAAGTGACTCCTCCTCTTCCTCTCTCCCTCTAACCTTAGCAGAGCAGCCACCCCCTCCTCTTATCGGCGCCATCCTCCCGCTGTCACCGTCACTGTCTTCACGTCGTCGCTGTTGCTGACACTGCCAGTGTCGCCACCGCCACCGCCTCCCTCTTCCCCCCTCCTCATCTCCTCTGCCCATCCACTCCTTGTCGCCGTCGTCACTAGTTCCAGAACGCTCTAGACTGATAGGGGAATTTCACAGACAAAAGTTCGTGGTCAGAAAAAGTCTAGCGTTCAGAGACAAAACCCTACTTGAAAAGAAAGAGAGAGATATATAAAGACAAATATATTTAATATAGGGTATAATTTTTTTTTTAAAAGCAATGCATTCAATGAGTTTTTAATTGGGTAAATACAATATATTAGTCACAACTATTATGAATCGGAGAATTATAGCCACAACTATGGAAATTCAAATTATTAGCCAAACATTAACTATTTGTTAACAACTTTGTTAATAATACTGACTTTAACTTTTATTTTTTAAAGTTATAAATTAAAAGTATTTCGCCGTGGTCGCTGTCGTGGCCGATGACATGACCTTCTCCGTCAAAAATTCAATAACAGTAACAGTCAGTTAGCCATATCTTGACCCGCAACAATAGTTATGACTAATAATTTGAATTTTCATAGTTGTGGCTATAATTCCCCGCTTCATAATAGTTGTGACTAATATATTGTATTTACCCTTTTTAATTCACAAAGTATAATTAATACTTTTTGGCAAATACCCAAATTACCCTCCTGAAAAATCACAACCCAGCCCAGGCCACCCCTTAATTTGCTTTGCCTTGTTTCACCTTCCTAGCTCTTTCTAGTTCTTTTTGTGACTGGTTCGTTTACCCGAACTCTCCTTGCCAGTAACGTTGGCGAGTGGCGACACAATGAGAACCAGGAAAGCGAAGCGTCCAGGTGGAATCGACTGTCCAATTGATCTCGAATCGGAACCGGAATCACCATTGCCCGTTTCAGGTATCTTCGCAGTACCTCACCGCCTCTCTCTCGGCTGTGGCTTCACATTCCCTGTGGTTTTTATATTCGTTTATGTAGTTCAGAATCCCAGTCTTTCGTAATCTAATTCTGTCTTTCTAAGTTTTGTAAAAGCAGCTTTCCAGCAAACCCAACTATTAGGTTTCTGAAACAATATAGGGTTTGCAGTCCCAGAATGATTTGGGAGTCTGATGAGCTGCTTTTTCCTTGTTCGAACCTCATAAAGACGATTGCTGTCAAAATCGCGATTCTATATAAAAGCGTTTTGGTGATCTAGAAGCGTAAAACTGTTAGCTTTTGACTATACTTGTAAGGGAAATATACGATTCTACTAGAAGCGTTGTAGTGATCTAGAAATGTAAAAACATAAGTTTTTGAATGGTAAAACACAGATTTTGATTGCACTGATAAAGACTTGCTTTTTATTAGCTTTTCCAGAACTTAGCAAGCTTTGGAAACAAAGTGTCTCATTGATATGTAATTCATGAAGCATCCTGTGCGTGCCATCATCATGTTCTGCCTGTGATTCACTGGTGGAAGAGTAATTGACACTGGAAGTTTTGAATTTGTGGCAGATGGCTTTATTCCCGTTTCAAAACACCGTACATGTTGGAAGCACATGGCAGCTTGCTTACACCAACGCAAAACTAAGATATCTAAGAGGAGGTTAAGGAGACTTCAATTAACATCAAAGTGTTTCTCAGGTACTTTTCCCTCTCGCTTGAGATCGAACAGGGTAGCTAAGCGCAAGTTGGGCAAAGCTGATGTCACCCAAGAAGGAGCGAAGCTAGATACTGCACAATTTGATTGCTATTTCAGGTAAACTGTGGTAACCTTGCTATGTCCTCTGTGGCTTCCATCCTGGGTCTATCGTTTGCCTAAACGTGCTGGAGAATGCAGCGATGTTTGGAGCCGTTTGTCTGAGGACAAGAAGAGTTCCTTTGCCTATCTGGAAAGCTTGTGGTTTTACACGTATATGCTACCAGGCTGGAAAGGGAAGGCCATTCGATGGATCAGGGATAGGGCAATTTTTAACAAGAGATATGTTATCGTTCCTATAGTTCTCTGGTAAGTGTAGTGTCGTTTGCTTTAGTCATTCGTATGAGTCATTTGATGTCAAATGACTCATTTGCTAAAGAAAAAACGCATGAGTAATTTGGTCCATACTAATGTCAGAAATGATTATCGAGTCATTTTAAAATGTTTCATATCCATGAGTCATTTACAAATGTTTCATATCCATGAGTCATTTACAAATGACTCATTTAGTCCAAGTGTTCCAACTATGTCCTTGCCTATTTTATGTGAACCCACTTCTATCCTTCTCTTTCTATTATTTGTTTGCTATGTCATTGCTCCGTCTTCTCTCAGAATTATTTTTCCTTTCCCCCCAAATTTCATTAGTGACGAAGAGGGTCATCTACGTAACGGTGCATCATTTTCGTTCACAAATACTATCATTTGTAATTAGTTAAAAATTCGAGACTTATGTAGGTGTTATCTTTCATAAAAAATGTTCACATAGTTAGAAAGTAGTATTATAATGGAAAACACCCAAATAATATGTTTTTTGGTTTCAAAATGATTTTTGTTTAGGGTAAATGCCACATTTGGTCACTGAGATTACTAAAACATGTTACATTTAGTCACTCTCCCGTTTGTGTTCATCCAACTTCATTAACAGAGTTGGACGAAGGCTAACAAAGAGTGACTAAATGTGACATGTTTCAGTACTTCGAGTGACATTCATAAGAAAAAAAGTAATTTGAGTGACCGGAGTTGCACGGAGGCTAACGCGAGAGTGACTAAATGTGACTTGTTTTAGTAATTCGAGTGACCAAAATTAATATTAATTTTTTCTAGTGACTAAATATAACACAATTTATTATTCCCATTGACCAAATGTGGCATTTACCCTTTATTTTTATGTGGGAGGTTTTTATTAGAATAGGAAACTTCCTGGGGCTTCGATGTTTTTCAATGGACTGGCTGTACAGCCAGCCTGAAGTTTTCATATTGCGAGTTACTTAGATGTTTCAACTTGGCTCGTAGGGGTCATTGGAGCCTCCTAATCCTCTGCAACCTTGGTGAAAGTTTAGAGTCGGAGAATGGGAAACCATGCATGCTGTTGCTTGATTCGCTTGAAAATGCAGGTCCTGGGCGCATTGAGCCAGATTTAAGGAAGTGAGTTGGATCCTTTGGCTTTATTATGTATCCTATCCTTTTTTAAAATTGCTAGATCAGCCATCAACTTATCTCTTCTATGTTGTAGGTTTCTGTTAGATATTTACAGATCAGAGGGCAGGGCTGTAAATAAAAAGTTAATTCATCAGATTCCGTTGTTAATACCAAAGGTAACCACAAAATAACAACCTAATTGGTTCCTGGGATTTCAAGCTTTTATTTTTTTGTATGGACGATTAGAACTTTTAATCTATAATGCATATGCTCTATTGACGGGAACTCTGTTGATCTTTGCAGGTACCACAGCAAAGGGATGATGTAGAATGCGGGAAGTTTGTACTTTACTTCATTCATTTGTTTGTGCAAGATGCCCCAGAGAGTTTCAGCTTGGGGGACTACCCTTACTTCGTAAGTCATGTCTTGCTCATACTTGATCATTGGCTTGGAAGACATACCTGTGTCCTATATCTGGTCTGACAGAGCCTTGTTCTTGAACCGCAGATGAATCGAACGTGGTTCACTCCTGAATGTTTGCAGCAGTTCTTTGAGGAATTGGATTTGGTTAAGAAAGACGTCTAGCACTTACTTTTTATCCCCAAGCGTATCAACATTTTGAAGCTGGACAGTTATGTTCGTACAGTATCTAACAAGCTGCAGTCTTGTCCATCATGTCTAGCTATGTCCTAGTGCGTCCAATGCTGCAATGACTAACATTAGGTTTATAACTTAATCAAATCCCATGATGGAGCTCTGTATCTATAGTTCATTCCTATCCTGATATGTAAGCAATAGGTTGGGTATCAATGGTTATATATGTTGGTAACGAGTTGTAATGACTGACCTTACCTTGCACACCCACGATGAAACTTGGGAACTCAGATGTATCGGATTGTTTATTCCTAATGGAAAATGAGTATTAGCTTCATTGTTGATTTGTTCCCTGAATCCCTCCATGTCGAGCTTTTGCAAACTGAAGCTAGATCAACTCAAGGAAAACCCAATGCCCAGATTTCCAAATACGCCACTACTGCAAAACCACACGCAGTAAATCACCTGGGTTTCACCCCACACGCCCAATGAAGCACCTCCAGATCACCACCATATTGAGCATTGGCAGCCTCTCCCGAGCCTGCTTAAACTCGAGCATTGCCACATCTCTACCACCTACCAGACACTCCGAAAATAGGTGCTCAAGTGTCTGAGCCTCTACTCAAATAGCGCAAAATGGGAAAGGAAAACGCTTCTCACACTCTACTCCGTGGGCATGCAATGACGGACCAGTAGGAAGGAACTAACGCAAGATTCAAGAGTTTCGGCAGCACTGGCAACTTGTACACTCGTTCATAAATAAATCCAGAGTAAATGCCACATTTGGTCACTGAGATTACTAAATCATGTCATGTTTAGTCACTAGAAAAAATTAATATCAATTTTGGTCACTCGAAGTACTAAAATATATCACATTTAGTCACTCGAATTACTGAAACATGTCACCTTTGTCCCAACAAAGCTTGATAATGGGAGATTCTTGAGCGGCTTTGTGATGAATATCGGAGGAGGCTCGATTTCAAGGACGAAGTTGTTGGGCATTATTCAAGGCCTGAATGGGAGATGGGCATCCGCCGTCCGGAAGGCGGTTTTGAGGACGGATTATAGAGTGGCATTGAGCTTGATTGGCTCAGCTACATCCTCACATCCACATTTTTACGCTGGTCTCGGAAGTGGAAAGGTTGCAGAAAAGCTGGGAGGTACTGTCACATGTGGTAGATGACATTGCGCCAACATGGCGGCAACATGGCGCTGCAGATGTGGGCCGTGGCGTGCGGAAGACTAGAAGCATAGAGATGCCTCTAGGATTCTTCACCTTTATGAGCATTATGGTGCACTTATGAGCCACATAATGAGTGACGTTAAGAGAGTGCATTATGAGAGACTTAATGGGTGTAGTAATGGGGAGAGACCATTATGAGGAGGCATTGATTCTTTGTATGTGGGGAGGCCTATGTAAAGAGTCATCTCCTTTACTTGTAACTCATTACATATTTTTTTAGAGTAATACATTTAGAGAGTTCTCCCACTTCCTTTGTCTTCTATATATCTTTGTGAGTTCGAGAGTTTGTGAGAAGGCTGACTAGCATCTCTAACTGAATTGAGAGCTAGGACCGCACGACCAAAAGTAAGGCTGTTACAAGTTGTATCAGAGTTTGGTTTGACTTGGTGCTATTAAAGAAGCAAGTCAAAGCAAAGAGGATGGGCCTCACAAAAAATGTAGGGATCAAAAGTTCTTGATACTAGTGACAAACGCGGAAGAGAAACAACGAAAAGCTCCAGGCCAAAGGCTGACAAGTCCAGCACTCATGATCCTTTGGCGACTCTAGAGAAGTGTGCCTCTAGAGTGGAGGTGAAGGTGGCCGAAAATGTCACCACGATGGAGGATTTGGGAACTAACTCAACCAAATCCAAGGCGACGACGTTCAAGGTTTAGGGGCACAGCTGACGAGCTTGGAGATCGACAATGATGGGCTTCATGAAGAGCTCGTGACCCTCATCAATAACACCATCTCCAACTCAATGAACAACCCCATTGAAGCTGTGAAGGAGACAGTTTAGGCTGAGCTGTCCGTTGTAAAGGAGGAGATTGCACACCTGAAGAGTGAGGTTACTCTAGTGAAGAGAGCCATGGCTAGCGGGCCAGCCCTGGTGTAATCCATCCCTAGAGCTGGTGTTCCAAGACCGAAGAACTATGGAGGTTCGAGGAACGCAAGGGAGTTAGAGAACTTCTTTTGGAGTCTTGAGTTGTACTTCAAGGCATCCGACATCTAAGAGGATGAGGTAAAATTTCATACCGCTCCACTTTACTTGGTTTATATTGCTACAGTTTGGTGGAGGAGACGTAAAGCGGATGTCAAGAAGGGTACTTGTGTGATGGCAGCATGTGAGGATTTCGAGAGATAAATCAAGAAGTAGTTCTATTTAGAGATCGAGGAGTTTTCAGCCCGTTCGAGGTTGAGGAGGCTCACCCAGAGGGGTGGAGTTACAGAATACGTGAAGGAATTCTCGGAGCTGCTTTTAGATATCTCCGACATCACTGACAAGAAGGCCATGCACGAATTTCTTAACGGGCTGCAATCGTGGCCCAAGCTGGAGAGGCAAAGACGAGGAGTGCAAGACCTTGCAACTACCATGACCAAGACATAATCTTTTATTGAGTACAAGACGGCCGAAAGCAGCAAGGATAAGAGTTCAAAGCCGAAGGTCGGAGAACAAAGGCAGCATTTCAACGAGGGCACCACACTCAACAACATGGTGGCCCAAGCAAAGGCGGTAAGTTCGAACCAAAAACTGTTACTTTTTTCCTTTGTGATGGATGCCATAGAGTGTGAGATTTCCCAAGGAAGACTAGATTGGCAACCATGGAGGCTCGAGATGAAGAGCCCAAGGTGAGGGAGGCCAAGATCGGCTCCTTTAGCAAACTTGGCGTGGTCAAGACCGACGCCAACCAAGGAGAGCAAGCGTGGGAAGTGCTACGTTCTGACCCAATTCATGCAATGAGAGTCAAAAGCCTTGGTTGATACAGGAGCCACAAACAAATTCCTTAGCTTAGAAGAGGCAAACCGGCTAGGTACAAAAACTTGACAAGCTAAAACACAACACCAAAGTGCGACCAAGTGTAATCGCAGTCCGGGAATGCAGTAAAGTGGCAAGTTCTAATTATCAACCCGGGGTCTAGATCTACTGCCTACTCCGTGAATATCTATTATCTAGCCAACTAAGTCGATTGATTGTGGTTTTAACTAAAAGCAGTAAGAAAGCAAGAAAAGATTCAGTTTTCTAAAGCAAAGGAAGAGTCACTCGGGAATGAGTCCCCCTAGCTCCTTAGTTAGGTCACAGTTGTAATTACTTTTGGTTGCTTTACTGCTGATTATACTGCGGAAGATCCGACAGTAACTTGGAATCTCTTAAGCTGACCAAGCCCTCTCAGTCAAACTACCCGGCAGACGACTAGTCTCACCGGGATAGGACGCTGAGGCAATGAACACAGAACTCCTCTACTGGAATTAGATTCTAGGACAAAGCAGTGAACCGACTAACTCTCGTATAATCGATTCACTACTACCGATTTAAGAAGCTCTAACAACCTAATCAGATTCTATCTATCTCAGGTTGCATCAGAAATCAATAAAAGATTATCAGACTTCAATTGACTCATTCAAAACACCTCAATCAATTATAATCAAGCAATATCACAATCCAAACGTAATTACAATCAAGATTCCTAACACATGGAAATAGGGTTCTTCATACCCAAGTGATAGAGAGTTCTACTCCATAGAGAGAGAGGAAAACAGAATGCAAAGCAGTCACACTCATCAAGATGGGAAGAATCTGCTTTGGGATGATGATCTTCACTCCAAGGATGATTTCCAAGCTTGATTGATGAAACCCAGCTCCAAAACCACTCTTACGGGGTATTCTTCGCACTTTCTCTTTCTAGGGCTCTGTTTTGCTCCAAAAAATCGATTCCCTCTCCTTTGGCTCGAATTTGGGTTAAAACCCAGAAATTCCCGACCACACGGCCAGGCCACACAGCCGTGTGGCTTTTTAGGCGTACCCGTGTGAGTGTGCAAAACGCGCGTTTCACTTAAGTGGCTTCAGGTACGCTACACGGCCAAAACCACACGGCCGTGTGGATTTTAGGCGTGCCCGTGTGAGCTCCCTAGACTTTCCACACGGCCACAAGGGGTCCCCTACACGGCCAATGTCGCTTGCCCGTGCAATTTGGTGACCTGGCCGTGTGGGTTTTTAGGCGTGCCCGTGTGGCTTTTCTAGCTTTTCGTCAAACGCCCCAACTTCGTCCAATCGACCCCGAACTCGTGCCCAAACCTTCTTTCACGTACTAGGACCTGAAATATCACAAACAAGAACAACCTAGCGTGAAATCGGCCTAAAACACGAGAGATGAGACTCAAACAGTATAGGAATGGTGGATAAAAACATGTGTATATATCAAGTCATCAAATTCCCCCACACTTAACCGTTTGCTTGTCGCCAAGCAAACCTGACTCAAACCAATACAACTCTCTAGACCTCTATAGCAAAATGCAGCCCCGATTGCCGGCAGAGGATTTTCTAGATCATTTAGCAACTTACGAGGTCAACTAGTCTTCTAAGACACCTCCTATCTCTCTCAATGCGAGTACTAGACTCAAGCCAGGATCATGAGAAGCAGTGGAGCTAAGACATTCAATTCATGGATAAGGAGACTCACACAATTCAACAACCAAGGACTCATTGTATCGGGTGCTCTTTCATTTCATTTCACTTGTTGGAACCCCTTCTTCTTACTATTTGTTTTTTTTTTCTTTGATGGGGTTCTAACTGCAGTTTGTATGCGTGTTCTGCCTTTATTAGGTGAGCAAGAGAAATTTCTTTACATCTTTCACTCGCCAGAGTACTTCTTTTAACTCCTATACTTCGTATGGAGGGTCAATGAAATTAAGGGGGGTCGGAAGCTCTATCCGTGCCCTTAAAAACATATCCTCAAGTAGGCAAACTGTTTAACGGGTGAAATTTTACTT